CTAATCATTTTTGATGAACAGCACGTAGGGCTGCAGAAAAAGAAATGGTAATTTAGCTGCAAGTGGAGATACTCATCCTTCCTCCCTCCAGGATACCTCTCTGTCCTTCCTCTTTTATTTGCTCTTCTCTCTTGCTATCACTGTTAATTTATACCATTTTTCTATCCTATCTATTGGTCTGGGATACTTGGAATTCTTTCTCCACTTTAGCCGTTACTAGAAGCCTGCACTTCAATCTTATGTGAAGTTTATGGGAAGGGAACAAACCCAACTACTATGCCTCTGGTTGCATGTACTTGAGCATTTGTTTAGCTACCTGAAGATTGTTTGATCTTGTTTCTAAGTCAGTTAGGCAACAGATAATGGATGTGTTCAGCTAACCTGTTTGGTATCTTCAGCCTTCTCATGTTTTGAACTGTGCTGACTGTCAATACTCTGAGTAATGGTAAACAAGAATATCCTAATCAAAAATAGATTTTTTTTGTTTTGGTGCACATTGGGATACAAGACACTAGATGTATTAATCTTTAAAAGATATAACATTAAATTTGGAGTGGTGCTCCAGAGCTGCTGTATGCAAATGTATATTGAAGTACAAAAACTTGCCAGGTGTATCTGAGTATTTGTTTTTCTTCTGTGTTTTGACTGCTTTTACTTGTGCATTACACCCTGACTTGAAGTTTCTCAGGAGTTCTTTAAATATTATTTTTTTTTTTCAGAAAGCAGTTCCTTCCCTGAAATACTGCCTTATTCAAAGCACAGAAGTTTGGTTTTGCTGTATGTAAGGGCAGGGCTGTTTGGTTTTACTCGCTTCCTCCTGTAAATATTTCCTGCAAAAGCAATCTTTACACTGCAAAACCCATCTCCCCAGTCTTGCTCTTTACTCATTTCCTAGGACTTGGAAATATTGCCAAGTAGTGGTCTAAGAAACTTTCAATCTTCACAGTCTTGCAGGGCTAGTGTTGTATGGGTCAGGGTAGCAGTGGGATATTTGAGGCATGGTCCAGGTGGATGAGATCCCTTACGGAATAACCACAGCTATTATAGGAACATCTGTTATAAGGAACAGTTACTTAACAAGTTTCATGACTAAAGAGGAAGCATTCACTGAAACTTTCTTGTAATCTATTTTGTGAAGAGCTGGATAGATACACTGGCAACTAGAAGACTGAGGTTTTTCAGCTGTCAGCAGAAAGATAAAGTGCATTGTAGGCTGTTCAGTATTATTCAGATGCAATGTATGGCATGTTTTTTAACAACATTTTAGAGTCTAGTAGCAGGGAAAGCCTTTTAAATCATAATCTGATAGTGCTTTTATAGAATGTGATGTTTTGCCATTTGATTTCTTTATTCTTTACTAATTGGGTTTTTTGTTTGGTTTTGGATTATTTTTTTAATTTTAAGTTGTAAGTGTCTTGACTGACGTGAGTTGGTGAGGTTTTCAACAGGGTAGAGGCAGATTTAATTATATCTGACTGTCACTGAATCATATCCCTCAAACATGCTCATTCTTTTTTAAGTAACCAATTATAATTAAACCAATGACAGCAGGAGTTTGTAATTTGTGTGGAATTAAGGTAGGAGTGTAGTAATTCTTAAGACTAGAAAGTTTAGCAGATTTTTTTTTTTTATACTAACTCTTACACTGGACCACAGTTCAGGTCATTTTATCTACAATATTTTGCTCTGGGAATCTATGTTGGAATAGTTTCTGGTTTTAAAATTTGTGAACAGCTACTTAGATTTAAAATATCTGAGTTTTTGAATGTAAATATTTTTTGATTGTTGAAGTAGATGTTGTAGAAGTTTCCTTTCTCTATTTAGACAGTCCAATGAAAAGAAACTTTGGCTCTAACTGATTTGAAACTTGGGGAGCAAAATCCTCTCATACTTACTCTGAGGCTTGAAAAAGCCTAGTTAAACATATCTTCTTCAGATAAGCCTGGTTTTCTCCTTGCGTATGGAAAGGCAGGTGAGGACATAGCTGTTCCAGAGAGGTGCGCTTTCTGTTCCTCATCAACAGCAGAGAGTGGAATTGGCAAAACCAAAGATGATTGAAGAAGGGGAGACAGCCTGGAACGAGCAAGATGGTGGGCTGGTGCTGGGCTGACCTCCTGCGTGTTGTAGTCCTGACCGAAGCTGTCTATCCGCCAAATATTTTGGCACCAATGCTCATGTATAGGCAAAACTATCCTTTGTGCTTTCTCTCTCTCTGGCCAGTGGGTAGATTCCCCATCTTCCTGGTGGCTTTGCTTTGGGAGACACCTACATAGTGCAGGGGGACGGACCAGAGGAGCGTAACGCTCCTGGTGATCACTGCTATCCACAATACGGTCACTGGCTAAAGTGAAAGTGAATTTACATGCCAAAGCTTGTCATAAACTTGATTTTTTTTTTTTTTTTTTTTTAGGTTCAGCATAGCTATTGTAATAGTCCAGAGTGTGGGCTTTTCAATTATGAAGCTTAGATTTAGTGTACAAATGGTTTGGGTTTTTTTTCATTTCTCTTTGGAGCAGAGAGGGGTAGACTAATTGGTTATAGGCAGTACCTAGGTAACTGCAAAGCTAATGTATTCAAAAAGGAGTGAAAGCTTTATTACAGAAAGATTACATACAGAATTCTTTTTTTAGCTTAGTAAAAATAAGCAAGAATTTCTTTTATATGCTGCTATATGCTAAAATACTATTATGAATTATAAAATGGTTAGTAAATACAAGTTTCCCAGTACATGATGCCAAGCACATTTTACAGGATTGAATATGTAGCAAATGACAAAGCTTTAAGGTAATAAAATTTACGTGCTAATAATACCATGTATGGTATACATGTAAAATCTGTTAATATAAAGGAATTATTTTCTAAGAGAATGCTGTCACTCAAGATCCTTTTCGTAAACTGTATTTGCTTTGTTTCACCCTTTGTTCCCATTAAGTTTACCAAATTGAGAGAAAATTCAGTTAAACACTTGGATTTGGCTATTCAAAATATTGACCTTTAAATGGGAAGGTTCCAACATTCATCTGAAAACCTTGGATGGAGAGGAGCAGTCCTTTCTGCATTTGATTCTGAGGAATTATCCAAAGTGAAGTATTAAACTTTCATTATCTTGATGCTGATACTCTGCCTCAGCAGAGCTCTATCTAGCTGTTCTGGCTAATCTTACATAGTTCAATGTCAGTACATCTTAATACAGTTTTAGTGGATAAACTTAAGATTTTTTTCTCAGCTGACGATAAACAGATGTAAGATTGTGTGAATTATTGTCTTAATTCATTGTTTTCTAATTTTCAAAAATTTGTTTGGCTGATTTCGTACCTTCCACAACAAATTTTCCCTCTCCTAATTCAGGGTTTTTTTTGTCATTTTGTATTTCTTGGGCATCTTTATTCCAAAACTTTGTGTGAGTACATCTGCGAAGAAAGTGTTGATAAAGAGGCAGTCCAAAGATGTAGTGATAAAAGAGGTAGGGAAGAAAGAGCTGGGGATGGTGCTGTGTATTGCTAAGAAATTAGGCTTTTTGGCTCTCTCCAGTAAGCCTACTTCAACCCCATAGAGCTGCCATTTACAGTCTGGATCCCAAGCTTGTATACAGTTTTTCTTGTGCTAGGCAACAGTTCTTGTCCAATTATGCCTCCCCTATCAACTGGAGAAGAAAGTCTTTAACAATACTGCTAATACACTGGTTCAAGCTCCTTTGGTATTTAGTTAAGTCTTTGTGACAGAGACTAATTTTTTTGACAATATTTTGGAAAAGGGACTTGTTTAGTAGACGAATTCTTTTGAGATAAATGCCAATTGAAGTAGTGCATTTTTAATAATATAACATAGTTTAAAATGTTTCAATTTTAGAACTTCAGAGTGCTTTTTATTGCACCTATGTAGCTGAAATGAATGCAGGTTAGCTAATTGAAAGTGGAATTTGGTAAGTTTACAGATTCTTAAAAGGATTCTACTTGTACAACATTTGTGATTATTTGTGGAGGCCATATTTGCACTGTTTTCAAGGCTTGTTTAAAGTATAACAAACGTATAGTGTTGTGGCATACAAAAGCTACAAATCTCTTTGGGGCTGTTGAATAATAGTATGGGAAAATGTTCCTTCAGTTAGTAACAAAGGAAGACAGCATGCTGTTGCTCTTGAAGAAATTTTTTCTTCTAGTCAAACAGGAATTTGCACTACTAGACATCTATTACAGCTACACCCAAAACCCATGTAAAGAGAAAATTAAAAGTGCACAGCTAACATCGAAGAAATGGGAAATGATACAGTAATAGCCACCATGCAGTTGTATTTTTTCTCCTGTGGACATGTGCATTGAGATGTTGTCTGTGGTTTTTTTAATATGAGGGGGTGTTGGTGGAATATAGATCCCTTTTTTTTACTCTTGTTTTTTTATGATTACTCTTATTCATAAGAGCTAGTATGCGACATCTCCAACAGGGTCAGGTTTACTTTTCTGTTTTAGGTTGACTGTATGTGTTTCCACATCAGTGACAAGTATTCCTGGCAGTTGTGCCCAAGAATATTTTAATGATTGCAATGTCTGGAAGACTTGCTGATGTTGTATCACTCTTTTATTTACACAGTTATGCAATGGTTTAGGTTGGAAGGGACCTCTGGAGAGTGTCTGGTCCAAACCCTGCTCCCTTGCTGCATGTGTGCGTATGAAGGGATGGCAGCAGTCTTGTAGCTCTCTGGATGACATGTAGCTTCCTGCCTTTTGATCTTCTGTGGTTGTTGTATAAGATTTTTGCTACTCTCCATTCAGTCTTGGTTTTCTATTATTTTTGCCCTTCTAGAACCCTATCTTAGGAACATTCCTAAAACGAAAACATTTCAGACACGTGCTATGTCATTCCTGCAGACATTAAAAATAACAGACATTTGCATATAGGACTTCTTTGGGAAGTGTCTTCCACATATTATAAAGAATTTTGCCTTTTGTCAGATTACATACAGTTGTAAAATCTTAGTTTTTCGACTTTTATTTCTTTACAGGCCAGAAGCAGAATTTGGATGAAGCAATCTAAGTTGCCGTCATGAGCAGAAGCAAGCGTGACAACAATTTCTACAGTGTTGAAATTGGAGACTCTACTTTCACTGTATTGAAACGGTATCAAAACTTAAAACCAATAGGATCAGGAGCACAAGGGATAGTATGGTAAGGTTTCTTTAAAATGTAAATGTACTTTTAGGTTCCCTTAATAGAATTTTCTGAGTCCTTTAACTGTTGTATGTTACTGAGGAGGAGTGTGGAGAGCTACCTTTTAGGTGCAAGATGGCAGTGGTAATGCTTGGGTGTTTTTTGTCAGCAAGGACTGTTGCTCTTGCTTTTTGACCTGTGTCCTTCCCTGCTTCTGAACTGCTGTCCTTCTGTGCAAATTCAGCCAGCTGTGCTAAACCACATAAATTAATAGGGGGGGAAAAAACCTGGGTAAAGAAACTAATCCTGATCCTGAGACACACTGTTTACAGTGAAACAAGAGCCAGAAATACTCTGTATAATATTTGCTGCTTGTAAGTGCTTTTACTTCTTGAAATGTTTTTTTAGGGACCTGTTTCACTTAATTTCATAATCTAAGTAGTCCTTGGTACCTGTTAGTGAGCATTTGTGATGGTGACAGTTACTGTAATATGTAAATACCTGATGTAGTTTAGGAAAATATGACTTGATGATATAATTATTTGAATAAGAGCTCTGCTGTGTGGAATGACGAGTATCTGATTGTTTTAAGATTGGTGGCAACTAGCTGCTTGTAAGCACTTTTTCCTGTGCACTGACATTGCCCCAAAGTTAAATGTTGGTGTAAGCTTCTTGCAAGTTTTTTTTTGAACATTCAGGAGAAGGATGTAGATAGCACAGGAACTTGCAAATTTTCCAATTTATTGTAACTCTTAAGATGCTAACCATGGACATAAAAATACCAAGGAAACATTAGGAAAGAGAAAGGTAGGGAAAAGCATAATCTTCTCAAACACTTTTCCCTGCAACCTCTCTACTACATTGATCTTGTCTTGATCAGTGTTTAGAGAGAGTGTGGTATGGATGGGTTTTTGATTCATATTTGTGTTTTAGCTGGGTTAATAATAAAACAGTATTCTTAGTGCAAATGAAAACTTGAGTTCCAGTACTCTAAAAGGAGTTGGTTTTGAAATGGTAACCACTGGCATTAAGATTATTTGCTGTGTAAGTAGCAGCAGCTGAAAAACTCATTTGAATTTTGTTTGCATATGTGTTAATATAATGAGGACATAGACAGTTGTTTGACTAGAGTTTGTGCTACAGAAATACCTGCATAAGCTTTAGATGTTATTACTGTCCTTCTGATTCTCAGTCATATGTTACTGCCCGTTTTCCAAATTTACTACCTCTCCTAGAGCTGAGATCCAAAAACTGACCATGTAATTACTCTAATGTCATTCTGTAACGGCTGCTAGTGCTAATTGAAGCCTTTTTCATTAAACCTCTTTAATTAGCCTGGGAAGGGCTGGAGTGCTTATGTGGTTAAATCATGCCCATGTCTGCGGGAGATAGGTGTCATTCTTGTGTTTTCAGTTGGGTTTTGTTGTTGTGTTGTTTTGTTTTTTAAAAAACTGATCCAACTTGATTTGGGGGAGTATTAAGTAGATGACCTAAAATGACCTAAAGGCTCGGCTGTATCCAATACTGAAACAGACTCTAAGGCTACTGTTGTGTACTGGGGATGCAGAAGTTTAAATAGTGGTACAGGAGTCCCATGTTGGCAATCTTTCTGGCCACCTTTTGCCACCCTTTCATAAGATATTCCTTATCTTGGGGGTAGGTGGGGAAATTCCGGGTAGTGAAAAATGTAAACCAAAGAAAGTTACCAGTGTATGTTGTTCCCACTTTTTCTTTCTTTGATAGTGACTAGAGATTTTGATGATGTTTAAAAAACCAAAACCAAACATACTAAAAACAGACAAACAAAAAACAAACCAAAAACATTCAATGTGCTTTTTAAAGTAGCTAGTTGGATTTAGTAGATGCTGACCACTTGCTGGCAGATGTTCTTCATTAGGTTTGAGTACTGTTCTTGATAAGAGACAAAACCCCAGTATTTTCCCTGCTGAGGCTTTTTTAGTAACTGATGAGTATTTCCTGAGTCTGCATGGTAGTTATCTGTTGTATTACCTCTTACAGGAAACAAAATCTGTGCCTTCCTGTAATGGAAATGTGGTATGTATAGGAGTTGTCCTCAGTAAGAGTCTTCGGTTAAACAGCCTGTGTCACTGAATCATATGACAATCTTGGCATAGTCTGCAAACAAAATGTTATTCTTTCTTTTTACCAAGTAAAAGCCAGTGTCATCAAGATGTTAAAGCTTTCCTAACAGTTTATTTGTTTTATCTTGACATTGATGCTCTTATTGTCATGAGGATATTAAGCAACTGCATAAGTGGAAGCGTGGAACCTTTATGTAACCTACTTTTCTTCTCTCCTTTGCCTTTCCTTTCCATGTGAAGATTTTATGTAAAATTGATGTGCTTTTTATGTTTGAAGTGTTTCGGATCTTTTTTAGGCAATCTGTTCTTGAGTGCCGGTGAGTGGCAAGAACTCAGTATCTTTAGTAAGGTATTTTAGGAAGCAGAGGTCCTGCATTGTTTTGTGGAGATTGTCATGTGTTAGTACTATGAAGCTGGGAAATGTTTCTAAATTTTGAATTGCTAGGCGTAGAAGAGCACTTTGCATTATACTCCTTAAAACTGAATAATACTGGAAATTTGAGTTATCTGCAGACATGATAAAAGGTATCTGAAAAAGGTGGCAGCTGCCACTGTTTAAAGGGCCTTGACACTGAGATGTGATGATGTTATTTTTAATTACAGTGCAGCTTATGATGCCATTCTTGAACGAAATGTTGCAATCAAGAAGTTAAGCCGACCGTTTCAGAACCAAACCCACGCTAAAAGAGCCTACAGAGAGCTTGTTCTTATGAAGTGCGTTAATCATAAAAATGTGAGTGCAGTGTCCTGCTTTAAATATTAAAGAATTAACTAGACAGTTATTCTTTGTAAAAGTCTTAAAAGTGACTTCAGGGGATGGCATCCTCTGTAGATTATAAAGATTTTCATTGCCTAGTTGTATCTCCATGATAAGCACAAAAGGATCTTTCAGAAGAGCTTCAGAAGACTAGTTTTAATACCTACGTAATCTTTAAATACCCCCATCAGACTTAGGAAAGGAGTCAGTGTTACATTGCTACATTTTACAAGCAGCTGGCAAATAAGAATACCATGCGTGGTAAGTGCATCCTTGTTTGTGTTGCTGCTGCTAGACAAATAGGAGAAAAAAGGCTATAATATCTTTTTTTTTTTCCCTGATGCATGAATGGGTTAGGAGTCTTGTGTTGTGACAGCAGGAACTGTCTGATGCTTAAGAAGCTGTGGAGTAGACCAGATCACAGAAATGGGGAGAGAGTAAGTGATAAATTTATCAGAGTTGAACTACAGAAGGCTGGTATTGGCCATTTTCTTCCTTCAGAGACAGCTGTGTGCAGCCTTCCTCACCTTCCCTCTTAATGCCTCTTCAGCAAGATAGCTGCTAGGGAAGGAGAAAGTCTGAGAAGATTTACTCTGTCTTTTAGCTACTTGGGAAAATTTTGTGTTTTTTCTAAGACAGAGATGGTTTATATGTGGATTCTCTGAAGGAAGTTTTACCTAATAGCATAATTTATATTATGATAAACAATTGCAAGCCTGCCTGACTCTTGATGAAGTAGTAGCTTGACCTGTTTCTGCACTTTGCATCCATTCTTAGCAACTGGGAAATGTTCTAAAGCAGCTCCAACAATCTGTTTTTAAGTGGAGTTGTTGCTTCACCTCTGTCAATGGAAAAGTGGTATCTCTTAGGTAGTCTTTGTCATTTTTTAATTTTGTTTTTCCTATATGCAATAAAAATCTTACCAGCCCTTTTCAAACTGAAAGTAGGAGGCAGGGGAAGACCAACTAACTTTCTTAAGTTTTAAGCTTTGAATGTCATCTTGTTAATGCACACAGAGTGTCTTTAGATTGTGATTTGTGGAGGAAAAATACTCCTCCTAAATTAGTTGCACCTATTACAGCATGTTTGGCCTAGTTGAGACACTGAGCATCTTCAGCTTCAATGTGTCCAGGAGGTTCGCATAAGAATACTGGATATTGGATTTGAAATGTTGACTTTGCAACTTTGCTATGGTGCAGTTATACTTTCTGTCCCGCTTCCTACAGATAATCGGCCTATTGAATGTGTTCACACCACAAAAATCCCTGGAAGAATTTCAAGACGTGTAAGTCTGATTTGAACTAAAGATGAGAATTAATTTTAAAATATTCATGCAGAAAGATGAACAAGGGAAAGAATACAATAAAATGGCAGTATTGTCTGATTTATTGGTTTTTTTCTTCATAAGCTACATAGTGATGGAGCTCATGGATGCAAATCTCTGCCAAGTGATTCAGATGGAGCTAGACCATGAACGAATGTCATATCTTCTTTATCAAATGCTGTGTGGTATCAAACATCTTCATTCAGCTGGAATTATACATAGGGTAAGTGAACTTAACTGTGTATATTTTGCATTGCACTTGGTTTTGCCTCGAGTATTTAAAAGAAAAAAAATCAGAAATAGGAGCACAAAGGGTTGTCCATAGCCTGTCCCATAGAGAGAGAAAGCTGAAAGGAACTCGTCATACTTACCTTTTTCCACTGTAATTCTGGAATGACCCATTTGAATGATTTGATAATAATCTGCACAGAACAAATAAAGATTTTTTTGCAGTGAGTTACATTACCTCCTCTAATTCTGTGTAATGTTCTGTTTTAGTAGTCGTGGCAGGAAAGAGTATCTGAAAGTGTCTCTGCCTTTACTGTTTTGGTAACCAAACCTGAAATCCCATCTTTTGAAAGAACTGCCCTTTTTATTTCTGCTCTTTCACTAGCAGAGTAGTCAATAAATATCTCCAGATAAACAGATGATGATAAAGGCCTTTAAGTGGAACTTTCATACACCTGTGTGTCACAAAGCATTCATTCAGATTGCCCGCAGGCAAAACTTGACTACTGCTTTTTAAATGGCATGTCTGTGTTGCAATCCAGTGAAGAAATTCTGAGTTTAAGGTTGTGTGTTCAAGTTGAACATCTCATATATATTTGTATGTAGTGTAAAGATTGCTTGAGATTGTCTGGTTATAACTTTTCAAATATAATCTCTGCTATTTTTGGAAGTTGTAAGCTTGTATTTCTACAGTGCTACACTTTTTCATTGTAGTTTTTTTAGAGAGTTTGTAAGTTTTCGTTTCTGAAATGATGCAGAAGATATAATTAAACTTATTCATGTGTGATACTTTCAGTCATTACTACATTGTCTTCCTCATGGATGATGTGCGCAGCAAAGCAAATCATGAATGGCAATTCTGAGTGCTACCTCAGGAATTGCTGCGTTAGGATCCTTGTCCAGTTCAATAGTCCACCTCCTGTGACTGGGATGTTAAATGACCTGCAAGCTGGATCTGGCAGTATGACACTCCCGTTCAGTATGCTGTTTTTCACTGAAGGGAACTGCAACAGTTGTTTGGATAGAGAATATGGTTTGAATGGCCAAATGCTGGTTCGTTTTGCTCAGCTAGCTCTGGTACTCATCAGCTGCCTCCTCCTGGTGAGGAGCTCAGGGAGGAAAGGTGAACACTTCCTTCTTTCATGCAGTTTGCCCTGAACTGCTGTGTTTGAAAGATGGGTGGAAAGAAGGCAGGCAGAAGTGTTGCCTGCAACCAGGCATTGCACCCTGTGCTACGTGGTCTGCGTGTGGGCATTGAGACTGGTCGGTGGGCTTCTTGATTATTCTGGGAATGCTAGGCAAAACTAGGTTACTTCACTTACCACAATTGTGTTATTATATTGCATATGCCTGAGACTATGCAGCCCTTTGTGTCCTAATGCATGCACCTGTGGAATTGAAATAATGGTTTTGTACGCAGCTTCACGTTTTCTGGTCTCTTCAGTACTTGGGTGTGCAAGTTTAATACTCTGGGCTTTCCTAGCTCTTTTATTTTTGGAAAACTGCATGTTGTAGAGAGGTGCTTGGGCAGGTAATGTAAGAGTGTCTCTTTCTGTGGATCTTGGCGCAGGCAGGACGGAGCTTCTAAAACTTTACTTGCTTCAGGGGCAGTTTGTACTCCTGTGAAGCAGGCATCAAACCATTAGGCCTGTAGAAGTCACCGATAAATGTAAACATTCATACATTTGTAGAAAAGAAGTAACTACTCAGGTAGTTGCTGGGCAGGAGTGAAGACAGCTTCGACAATAGAATTCCTGCCTCTGTAAATATGGGTGAAGTCTTTGAAATGCTTCATATTGTGCAGTAGGAGAAAGTATAGGGATAACCTGTTCCAAAGAGACTATTGATACAATTGCTATGTAAATAGTAACACATGTATGCCTGAATGCTTTTGACGGACATGGGCAGATACATTTCACTTGCATGTCTTCATGGTCGATTTTTCAGCTGACAGCTTCTTCTCAGACTTTGTTAGAAGATTAACTATGTTCAAGCAAAATGTTTGCATTACTTACCTGCTATTTGTGTTATACCTTTACACTTCAAGGTGTCAAGTACCAAAATCCTGTTTCTCTGTGGAACAAGTTAAACAAAACCTCAGAAGGCACGGAGGACATGCTTGAAAAGGGACATATTTCACATGGACCGTGTGGCTGCAATAGTAACTCTTCTGAGCTTTCAGCACCACTGTTGTTAATGTCTAAAGCTAATTACTTTGTTGAAACTAGTTACTGCAGTGTGGCTGCCCGTGGAGCATTCTGGCTATGAATCCAGTGTACTTCTTTAGTGTCCTTTAAAGCTTCAAGCTTTTTTTTTGGTGTTGGTAGCTTCACGTGGTTTTTAACTGGGTTATTCAGCTTCTAACACAGCTGTGGTAATCTCAGCATCTCGGTAACTTTCAAAGCTTGCTGAATGTCATGGTTTAACCCCAGCTGGCAACTAAGCACCATGCAGCCACCTGCTCATTCCCCCTCCTAGTGGGATGGAGGAGAGAATTGGAAGAATAAAAGTGAGAAAACTCCTGGGTTGAGTTTAATAAGTAAAGTGAAAGCTGCATGCACAAACAAAGCAAAACAAGGAATTCATTCACCACTTCCCATCGCAGGCAAGTGTTCAGCCATTGCCAGAAAAGCAGAGCTCCATCGCATGTAATGGTTACTTGGGAAGACAAACACTGTAACTCTACATGTCGTCCCCCTTCCTCCTTCCCCCACCTTTATATGCTGAGCATGATGTCATATGGTATGGAATATCCCTTTGGTCAGTTGCGGTCAGCTGTCTCAGCTGTGTCCCCTCCCAGCTTCTTGTGCACCCCCAGCCTCCTCACTGGTGGGGTGGGATGAGAAGCAGAAAAGGCCTTGACCCTGGGTAAGCCCTGCTCAGCAGTAACGAAAACATCCCTGCATTATCAACACCGATCCATTATCAGCATAAATCCAAAACGTAGCCCCATAGTAACTACTATGAAGAAAATTAACTCTGTCCCAGCCAAAACCAGCACACTGAAATTACAACAGTGTGCCTGTAGCACTGAATACTACCTGCCATAGAAATAAGTTTTTTTTCATACCAAACTAGAGGCATGGAACAAGGCAGAGATCAAACACAGTGAGTTTCAGACAATTTCACCTAGAAGTTGTAGGGGGCATACTTAGCTGCCCCATCAGTGGATAAAGATTTAATCTTGGTAAAGATTTGACTATAGCTTTATGGTGGCTGTAACAGATGTTGGCAAATGAATATTACTGTGTTCAAAACATTTGCAGAGATGGGGTTTCCAGCAAGTGTAGAAGTACATGATCATTTATATTTCGCAGTCTGAGGTGGGTGAAGGATCAGCATTGCAGAGTTGTGCCTCACTGACTTGCTGAAGGACACAAAATGTCTCATTAGTCTTGCATGGAGGCTCTGAAATGTATTCTGCCTGATTTTGAGCACTCAACAAAGGTGCCTAATTATGGAAGCCCTTCACACAAATCTTTCTTTAGAAAGGGAAAAGCCCATAGAAGCCATGAATTACCCTCCAGAGATGCCCCTCTCTCCCTGCCTGGTTAATGGGGAGATGACCATGAATAATCTCTGATTTTTAGGCACTGACATTTTACGTTTTTAAGATTAGGATAGATATCTTCTGCTACAGGTTCTGGATATATTTATACAGCCTAACTAACTTGATCACTCTTATAGGAGCTTTCGAGTCCTTGTTTATTTAAAATATAAGAGGTATTGGTTCTGCATGAATTTGGATGCAGTATAAGTCAACTCTCACCGCCATCGTTTTTAAGGACAGTTCTGTATTCCAAATTGCAATATATTCCTAGGCTTCATGACAACTGCTTGATGTTTGGAAATTAAGGATGGACAGTACTCTGTAAGCTTTTGCTTTTTCTTCTCATAGTGATTTTTCTCTTGCAAAGGGAAGATTGCTTAACATTTTCAGTGTTAATACTGCAGATTTGGGGAGGATGAGTATAGTTAATACTATTAGCATGCACCTGGGATTCTGCAATGAACATGCTCCAAATAATAGAAGTGTGCAAAAATAAAGCTGATAATGAACAGGATTGTAGCAGATTCTGAAATATGCATATGAAATAGCTGAAATGCCTTATAATACTTGAATTCATTCGTGGCGTTTCAGAATCTTTTAAGCTGCAGTTGACTGCAGAGTCTTTGCATGTGTGATTTGGAAGTGCATGTGTGAATATGTAAGTATGCAAGACTCTTAATTATCCATTAAAATTCTGTTGTTCTGAGCTTTCTTAGCTTTCTGAGGAGTTTGCTGAAAGCCATAGAAGTACAAATGAAAACTACACATATTTTGCAGATAGCCACTTTTAAGTCTTTATGAAACTGTGAAAGATAGGGCTACTTATCAAATGCCTGCAGCTGCAATGCTCAAGTCTTCCACTGCATCTCGGATTTTTCTCTCATTAATCTTAGTAGAGTGTGGACAGAAAGGATCCAAGCCTTATGTATGCTGACCTGTATGCTCTGTATGATTTTGTGATGGCAAAGTTATTCTCAAGTTACTCTGTTTGTAATATGGCTCTGTGCCATTCAGATGTGTGTAAGATCCTCCTGAGGTGATGACCGAGTATGTCTGTGTAGCATCTGTATAAATAGATGTTGTAAAGCTACTGTTGTCAATATGGTTCTAGGGCTCAAGTGAAGAGAATACAGTTACCACGTTTCTAACTAAGATGATCTGAAACTGTATCAGGTCATTTTCCACTCCAATTTAATGACTCTGTTAATTTCTGGCAGTTTTTCAGTGGTACCCTTTTGGGTTTGGTTGCCAAAATTTGAATAAAACTAAATTCTAAATGGGAAAGTAAATCTGTGTGAGCATGGGGATTTCCTTCCTGTTCAGAGAACCGCCTGCATTGGTTCAAAAGAGGTAATGCAGCCTCAACTAGCAAAGAAACCTTTTACTTTTTACATTCATGTTATAATTTTAATAATTCTTCTATCAAGATCATTATTGCATCAAATGATTTCAGTAAGTGTAGTGTTACTTGTGTTCTGCATCATAGCAATAACCATTGTTTCAGTGAGCACTTTCTAGACCTTTCCTCAGAGCTAACATTTCTTACTAACCTCAGTTTCAGACATTGCTAACTTATCTTGTAATGCTGCTATTATTTTCCTTTGTTAACTGCTATATAAATCTACAAGCACAATAAGGGAATTAATTCTGTAGTCTGCTGAATGCACATGAATTAATGCAAGGGGAAAAGAAACCGAAGTTTTAGCAATAACCAAGTTGTATGTGTGGAGTTTAATGTTAGCAGTATTATCTTTTAAGAATGTGAACCACAGAGTACTTTGTGCTTGTCTGAGCAGTCATATATGATGTTTCTTTTTAAAGGATTTAAAGCCCAGTAATATAGTAGTAAAGTCAGACTGCACTTTGAAGATTCTTGACTTTGGACTGGCCAGAACTGCAGGAACTAGTTTTATGATGACGCCTTATGTAGTGACTCGTTACTACAGAGCACCAGAGGTCATCCTAGGGATGGGATACAAAGAAAACGGTCAGCAAATATAGTCTTTCTTTGGCATAGCTTTATATTTTTGTTTGGCACACCACATTTTACATGTTGATGTTTTTTTCAAGCTGTAGAAATTTTATAAATTAGCCTTGTGACCAAAATGCAGATTCTGGATACACCAATCTGTTTATTCAACTCAAACCATTAGAGAAGTTTGCATTTAATAGGAGAAGAAATTGAGGGCCTTGTTTGTTTAAAAATTTAAATAACTTGCTTGGTAGGTTAAGTTTCATCCAGGAAGAACTGGAAATATGTTTTCTTAACATGTGATATGTACCCTGATATGCCTTCACCTGACTTTGTTCCTGATGAGGATATAAATTGTAATTCATCAGTAAATGTGTGTCCTAAATGTAATGTTTAAATAACTGTATTCAATATAGCCTTTCAGGATGTAGGGAACTTAAAGGCTACTGAGGAACCAACAAGCTAAAACTACCTACTGTGGCATTACTTTTTATTAAAACCAGCCTACTTTAAAGCTGTTGCACTAAGTTTTTAAGTGATGTTGCTGAAGAAAAATTCAGTAATATACTTGAGACAAGAACACAGAGAGTCCTGTCATGAAGCGTCATAGATTCTTTGAGGTCCATGACAAATGCCAAGCAAATTTGTTTACTTTGTCCCTCTGCTTGCATACATTTCCTATTCACTCTGTGGCCCTTCTCTCAATATCTTCTACAAGAAAATAAGGAAAGGATACAGCATTTGAGGGAAACACATGATCAGGTACATCACATCTTCTGAATGAAACAGCTAGTATCCTTTAGGAAACCAAAGTAACATGTCATTCCTGAAATTCTGTTGTAGCGGGCCCAGTTCTGCTTGCATTTCATTGATCTACTGTCACTGTGGTCAGTTCAGCTCACTTGGTGTTTCCACCTCAGGCAGTCATAGTGCACAGGGGTCACCATTTGCTGAAGGTATTTTAAACCCTTTATTGATTAGTCCTTTAGTAAGGCCCATGAGATGCTGTGATGCATGAGGCTGTTAGCTGTCTCCTGGTGATGCAAGGCATGGCTCCTCAGGTTACTGACATAATTGGGGCTTACTCTGCTTTTCAGGATTCTTAATATAGTCTGCAAACTTGCCTGGCAACTGCATACCATTATGGCAAGTGACTTCAGATTGTGGGTAGCTGCTATGTGCATAGAGAGTTGATTTTGTTGTTGTTTATAAAAGCCAAGAAGAATAACTTCTATCGGTGTTGACAATGAAAGAAGCCAGCTCAAAAGAATGAGAATAGATCTTTTTTGCAAGGCTGTGTTTTTTATTTCTCTTTGGATTGTTAGTGTGCATGAAAGGATGTACATTCCTTCAAATGGCCTCCATAATTGGCTATTTTTCCCATAATTTGGAAGTCAGAGGCTGAGTGGAGCAAGCTTAAAGTTACTTTTTTAACTACTAAAGTTATGTAGAAAGCATATATTTAAGTTTGTCTTTTTTCTTCCCCGAGACTTTGGCCACCTTAGAGACACCAGATAAAAGAAACTAAAGCTGTAGCGTGAGTCGTGCAGCTGCCTTACAGAAGGAATTTATACAATGCAAGTCAGAAGTTTTCTGACTTAGCTTGCCCAGTTTACATTTTTCTCTTAAATACTGAGTAATTTTGAGTTGCAAAAGTGTGAAACTTCCTTTCCACTAAAATGTTACTTAGGTTATTACTGGAGTTAAATAGATTGTGTTCTAGAGCACCCTGTCATGCTAGTGACAATCCTGCTCTTAATAAGCAAGTGTGAATTGTGTTGTGCAGCAGAATCTAAACAAAAATTTATTTTCATGTGAAAAACTATGCCGTCTTCCCAAAACCAAATACATGGTGGTTGAGTTGAGAATGACACTTCTGGAGAATGTTAAAGTAAATCTGTGTGCTGAGTCGGAACACAATCTACATTTCCATATGTACTGTTGTCATTAAAAAGCTATTTACATAAACTGTAACTCTTCCCAGTCGCTGCCTGATGAGTTTCCTCATTGTGGAGCTGCAGAGGGAAGGGAGGCGGGTATTAAGGATGTACTTACTGTAGGAACCATGGGCGCTCCAGGATTCTCACCTGTTAGCATTGATGCCTATTTTAGCCCTTTAAACCTATAGTTCAATTAAAAGTTTACTTATTTAATTTAGAGTTAAATATTGAAAACTGACAGCTAACTAATGGTTAACATTAACATTTAGTTTAATTGAACAGCATCATCTGGCAGCTTTATGCCGTTTCAGTGCCCTGCTTAACCTATGTGGGAGGATTGCAATGTCTTTTGATGACTGAGATACACACTGCAGAGTAATATTCTTTTGGGACTATACTGGACACATATGAAATATTTAGTTGTATTAAAATTAGCAAAGATCCCAGACAAACTGATTATAGAGTTAACTTCTATATAGATTTTGATACTGAAGTAGATAAAGCACATTTGGGTATATTACATTAAGAAACCAGGGCTTGCAAGCTCAAGAAATTCAGAACTGAAGGACACCAGAACTGTTCATGCACACATACTTTAACATATTTAGATTTATGTACAGTTACATGCATGATTATCAGGAAGGAAGCACTGAAAAGCAAGGAAAGCCCCAAACCCTCTGAAACAAATACTTTTAAGTTTCCTAGTATATGCTCTGGCTCTGAACTTCATTTTCACTTGGTATTTTTTCTGTTAGCATTATAGAAAATAGTAAGTTCACTCCAAACAGGGTTTTTAAGAATAAAATATACTCTGTATGACAAGCAGTAGATTTTTAAAAGGATTTTTCAAATCTGTAATGAGATTTTACTCAGTCTTCTATAAAGTATTCACAAGAGCAGTCCTCAGTGTACAAGTTAGTCTAGCTTCATAAAAAAGTTAGAGACCTATAAGTAGAGAAGTTTCGTTTGATTAATGAAAGCAGCAAACCAAAACACCCACAAACATCACAAGTTTGGTTTTGTAGGGTGACCAGAAGAATGGTTTCCAATGTTTTTCTTCACCTCTGAAGTAGTTCGTTGTTGAGGCATGAAGATAAGTTATTGACTCACATCATTTCTCTTCCTAGACTTCTCCATGCAGTTATGGGTGTTGTTTTTATCATGTTGGACACAAACTAATTACAACAGAAACAGGTATATTTTGGTTTGTGATGGCAGCAGATTGTTTTGCAGGTGAAAAAGTCAACATTCAGAATTTTATTTTAGAAGTCAAATGCAGAACTTGCCTTCAAATCTTTGGGTCTCTAAGCCAAAGAATATGTATTTTTCTTAAGTATTTGAAAAGAGTTTTTAATGAAAAAACATCACTAATTATAAAATGTTGACAATCATTTTTTAAATGAACCAGGCCCTTAATTTTTACCTATTAATATGTACAACTATGATCTCCGATCATATGATTTAGATATTATTTTAGAGGAACTTGTAAATAATGGGGAAGGAATATTTTCAGTAAGAAGCAATGTTGTTTGCTTGACACTGTTGAGCACCTTCAGAACTCTTACATGTGATTTTTAGTATACAATCGTTCTCATTTAAATCACCTTCTTATTTGCTTAATTGAAATTCCAGTGTCATGTTTGACATAAAAGTATTCATAATAATAGAGTTTCATTATTATGACTTCAAGAAAACTTTTGCATACAGAGTTAACAGTATCTCTGAAAGCAACTGCAAAAGAAATTGGCATGCCTGTAAAAAGTAAACTTGTGCATCTTTTGAGTATGTCTTCTGAGTAATTTATTTTAAGGTAATGTAGAAAATGTGTATTTCATACCAGAAAAAATTTGCTTTTGAGGTTTTCTTTTGTGTAAGATGGTATTTCAGCATAACTGGAGAAATATTTTACGCAAATAATTTTAACTGAAAATCTTTTAGGAGCATACTAATATTGTCATTAACTGATCCTCTAAAATTCTAAGTGATCTTTTACTGATTGTGTTTGCTTTTTGTTTAAAGGGAGAGAGAGATGCATGATAGTCTGACTTTTAGGAAATACTTGATGGCAAATTTTAATTCCTATGTAATAACCAATTAATTCTCCTAAAAGTATAAAGTGTTTAGATACAGAATATTTTTACAGGTCAGTTTACTTTGCTACTTTTAAAATTATTCCTTCAACTACAATGGAATTACTTTCAAGAAATAAAGTTATCTTTGGTGTTCTGGTCTCGTCTATTGGCAGAGGTAGCTTTGCAAGCCTCAGAGCTTGGGGAAGGGCTTACTGTGCTTGATTTGTGTCTCTCTCTCTCGCTCTCTGCTCTAGCTCTTGCTCTAGGACTATTTTAAACAAAAGGATGTTTTTCTGCCTTGTATTTGAGACAGTTAAAAGCTAATCCTTATATACGATATGTTTTAAAGTGTTTTCATTGATTAATATAAAGACTTGCTCTTCTTCCTGTGCTGTCTCTGCAGTTCATAGGATGCAGTCATGTTATGCTTCTTTTAATTTTAAATGACAGTTTGCTTTGCTTTTCCTTCTTTTTGTGCTACAAACATAGTGGATTTATGGTCTGTGGGGTGCATTATGGGCGAAATGGTTTGCCACAAAATCCTCTTTCCAGGAAGGGACTGTATCCTTGTGCTGCTGCAGCAGGTTGAATTAGTTAGGAAGTGATTAACCTTTTTATTGATGTTGTGTCATGAAAATGCATATTGTACAATATTTTTTTTATTAAATGAACGTGGATTTTTCTTGTGATACACTTAAAAAAATTTAAGAACTTCATTTATATTCAGGCTGCACCTAGCAGTAGGACATAGTCTCTGCTGGTCCTGTAGTTAGCATACATTCACCTTCACTCATTTTCATTACACACGCTTTTTATAGTCACTTCATGTGTGTGTGTGTCTAGATATTTTTGTTTACTTCATTTTGGTAACTATCTTTTATGTTAATATCATTGCATTTTGTTTTCAGTTGACATTTGGTCAGTTGGGTGCATCATGGGAGAAATGATCAAAGGTGGTGTTTTATTTCCTGGTACAGATCGTATCCTTACCTTTGGCCTAGGATGTAATTGTAGTTGTGAAAGGTCAAAAGATACTGCAGCAACATGGTTCCATATTAAGGTGGTTCTAATTTTAAAAATACTGGTTTAAAGCTGCCTTTTCAAAATACAATTTGCAAGTTCATTATTTTGGTTCCAAGAAGCTGCAAAAATGTCTACAGTTACACCATTTAAAGCAAAACCACAACACAGCATTAACGTGTACGACTGTCTCTAGAGATTAATACTTAGCAAGATGAACAAAATACCACTTGGGCAAACAGGCTTAGTTTTCCTTTTTCCTTTTTTTTTTTTTTTTCCTCTTTTCTTTTTCCAATTTAATACAATGTCTACCCATTGGTTTTGGATGTTGTCACATTTAAGACAGATTCTTTTTTTTGTTTAGGTGTTTTACTAATTCACATGCATTGATTTTTAGCTTTGGAGATAATTTTTATGTAATAACTTACTAAGCTTGTTTATTACCTGAGCCTGTTAGCAGTTGTTATTCTTTACATTTTATAGGAAATGTTTATGCAAAATTCCTAACCAGCTTTGTTAGTTACACTCTGGAGTTTTATATCTTTGTATGCAGAAATGATCCTGCAAACAGCTTTCAGAAATACCTGGCACTTTTGTCCTTCTATTCCATGAATGGCTTCGTGGTGTCTGTATGGGTTGTCCTGTGAACAATACTTCAGACAAAGGGTCTGCTCCAAGCAAATAGAGCCAAAACCTCTGGATCATTGCTAAAATTAGTGGATCTAATTGGAGTTTGGCATCTTATATGCTTTACTTACACTCCAACTTTTTAGATGCTGTCAAAAATCTTTCCTGCTTTTGCTACAGGTTAACTGTTTAATAATTGATATAGTGCCATTTACAGGTGAGAATTGGGTCAAGATTTTTGAGGCACGGTGAGGAGATCCAGGGCATCCTTACTTTTACACAGCTCTGTCATTGCATGAGCTGCACCATGCTTAGCTTTATCCATCTGGTTTGCTAGCATGGCTTTTCAATTTAGGCTCAGTGCCATAAAATGTAAATACTTTTTTTCAAGACCTGTACTAAATCACTGTAGAGCTTGAAAATCCTTATATAAAAGTCTGCTGTAAAGTTTTAAGAACGTGAGAGGGGGCCTGCTACATCTGAAGGTTTAGGTAGCCCAGTATCCAGTCTTTGACAGTAGCCAAAAAGAAAAAGTTGAGAATATATGAAAGAGATAAGTGTATATAAAGTTTTACCTGAGCTCTATCCCAGTATCTAACCATCTGCCACTAGGAATTCCTGAGCCAAACATTGCTTTTTATATTTGTTAGCATATATTAAATTCTTCTGTCAACTGGTCAATCTCCTCTTTACCTTGTGTAAACTTTTCAATTAAGGTGTTCCCTATGCATCCTTGAAACTCTTTAACTTCTGCATTCAAGTCTTTGACAAAATTGTCATTGACTTGTGTGGGCCAAGATTTCATCCTTTGTGTGCCCACTGGTGCTCAGTGCTGCATGTCATTAGTGAGAGATCGCTAATGTGGAGAGTCCAGAACTGGACTGAGGTACCAAGATGAACACGAAGGACAAAGCACCGACACAGAGTAAGTCTCATGAGTGCCTTGGTGATGTGTAGTAGCTTGACTACTGTGAATACGCGTTCAGATCAGGAAGTGAGTTCTCCAGAACCCAAACAATGCCTTTATTTAAATTTATTTAACACATTTTGTGAGTCTTAATTTTCTCTGTTTCTCTGAAGTATATCCTTTGCTAATTAATTGTGATTTTGAGTAAAATACTGTTACCTTGACTACGCTATCATAGTCTTGCTTTGTTTCACTGTTTTCTCTAAGAAGGTAGTCCTAATTCATGATGATGAACTTGATGTTTTATTATAATTTTCTGTGTGTTTTCTCTGGTTATTTAATGTGGTTTTAACATAACTTTCTAGCTGAAAATTAGACACAGTGTTTTTCTTAGCTGCATAACCTTAGATATTGATCAATGGAATAAAGTTATAGAGCAGCTAGGAACACCATGCCCTGAATTTATGAAGAAACTACAACCTACAGTCCGAACTTATGTGGAGAACAGGCCTAAATACGCTGGATATAGTTTTGAAAAACTCTTCCCAGATGTCCTTTTCCCAGCTGACTCTGAACACAATAAGCTTAAAGGTAAGGTCTATCTTCTGTCTGTTGTATGTTTTAAAAGTTTTAAAACTGTGATATATTGAACAGAAATATATCTTGGTTTTGTTCACTATAAAATTATCCTGCTAAGGATTTAAATATTACAGTATTTTTATCATGGGAGTGGATGAACGTGGTGGCATATGCTTACCTCCACTTTCTCATCTTCTCTGAAACAGCTCCTATTCTGGAGATACCTTTTATAAAGAAAACTAAATATATATATTCCTCTCAATGACAGATGCCAACATGATTTACAGAAGAGTAGGGGGAAGGTGGAATAGAAGTTGTGTAGGCAGAGCAGATCTTCTTTCTCTAGGGATGAAAATAACGTTTTATATTCATAATACATAGATATCCTGTAGTTACTGAAATAACTTACTGATTCTAAGGGTCACCTGCTCAGTGGAGTCACATACTCACCATATTTTCTGTAACTAACAGTACATGACAATTTTTTCCCCATAAAGTATGAGAGGGGCATAGCAGGTGCTTGCCCAGTGCTATTCCAGACAAGGCTTTATTGCTGGCTGAGTTATATTTCACATAAGGATGCCACGCCAAGGGGCACTGTATGCTGAAAATGTATAGTGAAACATGTCCAACCCCTTTCCCGCCTGTGTTAGTCTCTTCAATTTTTTTTCCCAATCAAATGGACCACTTTCTTAAACCCCGAATTATGTGAGTGTCGCATAGATATTAAACTGGAATTTGTTTACTCTGGGTCTCTACTCCTTGTGAGCTTTGAAATACTGCATTATGTGCACTATATGTGGCACTAGTCTAAATAGAAAATTTCTCTTTTGCAGCAAGTCAAGCAAGGGATTTGTTATCAAAAATGCTGGTTATAGATGCTTCTAAAAGAATCTCTGTGGATGAAGCCCTGCAGCACCCATACATCAATGTTTGGTATGATCCATCAGAAGCAGAAGCTGTAAGTTCTTGTTTTAGGTCTGTGGTTAGGAAGGTACTGTACTAGAGCAAACTTGTTGTGATGCTTCAATTAAGTGCTTGAAAGAAGACTATTGCATGATCTACACATTTCACTAGAAGCTTAACTGACTCATAATCATTTTTATTGACATTGATAGATATATTTATTAGAAATACTATTAGGAATGAGTGCAAACTGAAGTACCTGTATCTCTGAGTGTGTTCGTGTATAATTGCACATACTCTCTTGGACATGTAGTTGATTGCCCTTGATAGGACTCTGAGGTATTTACTCCTGAGCAAGAGAAATATTTTCATTAGTTGTAGCAATCAATAGTACTCTTAAACTAGAAAGTAAGTGTTTGAGCAAAATCTGAGTACAAGATCTTGAGCTTTCAATTATTGACACTAATGAACAGAGGGATTATTTGAAAATTTTTCTTAAAAAAAAAATTGGGTTCAGGACAATTTCAGCTTATGAGAAGTGTCATTTTTTTAAAAGAAAGGTAGTTGGTGGTGGCCCACTAAGAACAGAAAGAGATGCTTGATGTAAATGGTGCAATTAGAATTCTGCTCATCTGTAACAGCTAGAGGCAAAACTTAGTAAGGAGGTAAAAAGGGCTGCTTGGGCTGGAGACTGCTGCACTTAGGAGCTCGTTTACCAGACTGTTCAGTTTCTGTTTTAATTATTGCAGTAATGTAAATGAATCTGTTAATCAGAAGAACTTTAAAACATGTAGCAGCATCTAGAAGATAGGCCAAGTGCAAGTATGAAAGCATATATGACCATGTAAATACAGTATTTTTAAATCAGGTTCATATTCTGTGTGCTTACTTTTAATTTTTCATTTATTCTGTTTTTGTATCCCTTTGATTGCTTTATCATGAGTTAGTTTTGTTTTTCAGCCTCCACCAAAGATACCAGATAAGCAGTTAGATGAGAGGGAGCACACGATAGAAGAATGGAAAGGTAAGAAGGGCATTTTAAGTATAGTAAGGCTTTTGGGAGTAGGCTGAACCCCAATGATTACTGTTACTAAGGTTCTTCTGAGCAACCTGATAGTATTTACTTAAACTGCTTGGAACGGCAAGGGAATAGATCAGCGCTTCACAACCTCTTGATTGTTGGGACACTAAAAATTTTCCTGCGAAGGCACTAAACCTTTGTAGTGAACTTAAGACCTGCTCATTTCTGTTACCTTTCACAAACCATAAGGCCGCGTTTTTAGAGAGAGTAACTCTTCTGGACAAACTGCTACAGTTGAAAAAGATGCAGGAGTTTGAGCAATGTAAGTCTGAAGTAGAAGCGCTAGTCTTTAAGTGAAGAGTGTATTAGCAATAACTGCAGTCTTTCAAATCTGAGGATTTAATTTTAATTTTTAATTTAATTGTAAAGGCAGAGGTAGGGAGAATTGTGGAAATTCTCTTACCAGCCTCCTTCCAAGCAAAGTTATTTCCCTTTTGAAGCAGATGTGCTGAGAGTATTTCAAGCAGTATGGAGTTTACTTTTGAGACTCCCACAGCCCTTGAAATCACAATTCTTAAATGCTTTTTTCTTCCAAACTGTTTGTACATTGCATTAGTTTGCAAGTGACAGATAAGAAGTAGTATTGACAGTCAGTTCTTCTAAGTTGCATTTAACGTGTTTAGTCCTTTTCTTCTATTGTTACTTCTGTAGATTCACAGCTCAAGTCTTTTCTGAGTAATAAGCTGCCATTAGCCTAGAAACTTTCTGGCCAGTACACAGGGTCTGTGATTGATTCGTTAAAGCACTTCTAACCTGTTTAAGGATGAGGAACTTCTGTAACTGGAAAATAAAGTTGGTCCTTTCATTTGGAGTGGCTATTTTTATGCCAATACTGTATTCTATTTCATGGTGATCTGGACCTTTGGATGTTGTTTCTGAGGAAATTTAGTGGCAAATGTGTGTTGGGAGGATGGCAGTGCTGCTTGGGCTTGTTTCCTACCTGTTCTTTGAAGAGTGCTGATCGAGTTTATCTGTACCAAAGAAACCATTGATAAAAACCAAGTGGTCATTAAGACTCAGCTTAACCTCAGGTCCCCAAGCAGCTTGGACAAAAGAGTCTTAGAGCAATGTCAGTGTGTTCTCGAGAGTGCCAGGCCTTTGTAGCTCTAACAGAAAATAAATGTACGTTTTTATATCACTTGCCAGTTGTTCTGTACCCTACAGCATGTTGTTCAAAACTAATTCTGAACAGTAATAAACCTATGAAATTTAAATATACGTTTTAAAGAGAGATGTATTATTGATCCAGTCTGGGGTTTGCAAATTAATTTTTTGCCTTTCCTTCTCTGCGTTTTCAGAGTTGATATACAAGGAGGTCATGGACCTGGAGGAGAGAACCAAGAATGGGGTTATACGCGGACAACCAGCCCCTTTAGGTTGGTTCCAATAAAAGCACGGTACAAAGCGACATTTAGTTGTAGGTCAGGAGGGAGTACAGCTGTTCAAGACATCCAAGAATAACCTAACTCAAAAATATCGCTCTTAAATGACCAATAACCTCTTGAATTCTCTTTGAGATATTGCTTATTTGAATGGAATGTACGGGGTTGACGTATCTTCCTTTAATCTGGTAAAGTCCTCTATTGTCCCTGTGTAACTGATGCTTCATTCGTTTCAGTCCTCAGGAAACATCTTGGTAGGTACTGGTACTTTACTGCCATAATCTGGTTAGACGTGTAAGGTGTAACTGGTACAGTTTCAAATAAACATGTGGCCACTACTTACATCTATTAAGTAATGAAACAGGATTTCTGGGTTGGAAAATTATGGAGTGCTTTCAGAAACTATTGCTGAATTTTGGAGCAAAATGTGCCCATTAACTGACCACTGATAGGACTCTGCTCAGAGTTCACTGAAGTCCAGGCTCTGAAAAATCACTGCGTATCTGAGATTGAATGTATGCGATGTGGCTGGACACCAGCTATTTCCCAGCCTGAAGGGGAGGATCTGGTGGGGGAAAAAACAAACGGGCCCCTTCTTTCTTAATCAAAATATGTAGATATATTCTAGCTTTGAGTCTCAACATTTTGTAGGGTATCTTAGCTCTGACTTTATGCAGTACTGTATCTGTGATTTTTAACCTTCAGCCATTAGCATTTATTGTGATTTGACAGGTGTGCCATGTGAGTTCTGTGGTTCTTGACATACCATTCATTAAGCCCCACATTGAAGACTTGTGGGTTTTACTTACTTTGACAATTGATTGAGACACATCTCTTCAAACTTGCCAAAACAGGGGAAAGAAAATGACTATTAGGAAGAGAGAGACTAATGCAAGTACTGAACCATGCAACTGTATCTGCAACTGATTTGCTGTTTTGTTTCTCATAGCACAGGTGCAGCAATGATCAATGGCTCTCAACATCCATCCTCATCGTCATCTGTCAATGATGTGTCTTCAATGTCAACAGATCCAACATTGGCCTCTGATACAGACAGCAGTTTAGAAACCTCAGCTGGACCTCTGGGTTGCTGTAGATGACTACTTGGTCTTTTGGGGGGTGGGAGGGGGGTCCTTTTAGTCATTAATAGGGCACCTTTAAAATTTGGTGGTATTTTTGAGTGTTTTTTCAAAAATAATCGTAGAATTCATCATAAAGTGCTGTAATTTTAAACCGTAAGTTGTGTTAAAAGCAGCCACTTTTTTCTGTAATTAACTGTAAAATATTAAACCTGATAATTTTTATTGTGGTTTTAAAATCTGCATATTTGCTTTACTATTATGCTGCTGATCTTTTTTTACTGAATTTGTAAGATTTGTTTTATCAAAGCACATATTAATGTTGTGGTCATTACCATATAATGAATTATTTAAGATTTTATAGGTTTTCAATTTTTAAATTAGAATTTATTCCAGATGTTTTGTTCATGATATCCTTCAAAGTTTTATGCTTGGTCATAATTCTGTGTCCAGGTGGAGGGGGAGAGAATTCAGTGCAGCCAGCTGTAGTTTTGGGCATACTACTGTCGTGCTGGCAGTGAACAAAAGCAACAATTAGTGAATTTTTTTAGAGAAACAGTATACAATCCTTTGCAAAGTAACCTCATCTGAACGGTTTTATCAACTTAAGGAAGCAAACCATATCTTCAAAGCTGCAGAAATATGTAGCCTAGCAAAGTAATGCGATGTTTTCTGCAGAGTTGTGGCATGCCAAATCTTCTGATCACCATAAAACACAAGGATACTTCATGAATAATACATTGCAATGCCAATAAACTGTTTACTTCTAGCTTGTAGCCTGTTTTTGTACACACAAAAAGAACTGTATTCAGGATGTCTAGACTGCCAAGAGGGAAAATGAATATGCTGTAGCTATACTTTCATGTAATATGTGATTCTTGCGAGTTTTGTTTCTTACTAGTTTTGTCTACTAAGGCGAGTGCTTTTTGCATAGAAGAGGGAATGACATGAATGCAATAGGGGCAAAACTTCAGCTATTCTTTCTCCACCAAAAGTAACTGATTGCTAAAAACCATTAAGTGGTAGGAGAACCTCAGGATTTCTCTAGCTAATGCATTAAGTGAGCAATATATGCCATCCAAAGGAGGGAGAAGTAGTGCTGTATAAATTAATATTTATCTCTTTCATTTCACCATGAGACCAGTGTAGCAGAAATCTTAATAATGGTTTAAGTCATAAATATTCAGTAATTTTCAGCACTGAAACTCCAAGTTTCAATACACTTTTTAAACAAAAGATACATTGAAATATATAGAACAGTTACTAAAGTCATGTAAAATGGTGCTGCTCCTCACAGAAGTCTTTTTAACTGTTTACATTTTATATTTACAAAATGATTTATGTATAACTGACTTAAGTTTATGTATGAGTTAATCATTCAGAATTTATTCCTTTGGAAAATGCAGATTTTTAGTGAAGCTAGGCTGTATAATTGATTGCCTTGTGTAGACGCATATTTTGTGTAGTGAATTAGAATGTGAAGAGGAATTTGAAATAATAATGCTCACAAAAATGAGCATGAAACAATACAGAAGTCTTGCCAGGTGCAGAGCATAAGCAAATGATACAGCTGGCTACAGAGGTCATCCAGGAATGACTGATGATTTTCAGTGTGGTTCCTTCTGCTTGTTGGGTTAAATGGGTATCTTTCTGAAGTTCTAATTGAAAGAGGAAAGTTTGTCTTTTCAGAAAAGTAGAAGTGATAGTAATGCTTTCAGTATCTAATATGTCTTTTTAAAAAACATACAGGGTTACAAGGAATGGTAGTGTCTCAAAGATGACTAAATTGATAAACTGCACAGTTGTTTTCCTGGCCTGGCTAGACTGCTGGTAAGTGCTGTGTGCATGTAATTTTGCTTTCCTCACTTGTATCTAATATTTCAATATTGCCTTTCTAAACCACATTTGTTAAGGCAATTATTTTTACAGGATCCTGCCAAATTGTATATTACCTCAGAATAGGCAGGACATGTTTGGATTCATCTAGCACTGGAACATAGAAAACCTGCTCAAGTTGAACAGAGACCAACAGAACAGACTATTTTGTAATTTTTTTATCAAAGTTTAAGCTGTGAATTAAGCCAGAATTTTTGGTCATACAACAGTACTCCATTGTTACATAGGGTCAAATGATAGTCCGGTGATCCCAGTGTGATGAAGTTAAGACTGACAAAATCAACTTCTGATGCCCATAAGGGCTGTTAAGAACAGAATTTGGTAAATTTATTTAAATTTAATCCTATTTAAATTTATTTTGGACCTCCCTGGATTGCAGTGATGATTGAAATATTTTGAAACTTTAAAAGAATTTTTGCTGTCACTTTCCAGTGTCCTAAAGAAAAATTGCTTTTAAAATTGAGTGAAATAGTTACTAGGCTTTTACCATAGTGTGCTATGAGTAGTAACTTCACTGAGTTCATAAGCTGTAAGGAGAATTGAGCTTTTCTTCTTTTAAGGTGGGGTTAATGAATGGGTGAGACTGTCCACTGCAACCTATTGCAGTGTGAGTGAGCTATGTTTAAAGGGATTATTTCAGTAAGGTCAGAGTTTTGCCTGTGGGAATCTAGAGTTCACTTTTGGCACCATCTTCATAGTGGTGTTGCTTTTTTTTTTCAGTTGCTTGCATTTTAGGTAAAGTGATGGCAAATTTTAAAGACAAGAAAATCAGATTCAGTAACCAAAGTATCACAGCAACATGCTAGTCTTCATTTCCCTTTTTATTTGTTGAAATATAAAATTATTTCAGAGTTAGTTGTACACTGCCACAACAACAAATGGGTAGCTAGACTTCAGCTGTCTTTTTGTCTATTGTTATGTTGTTAGATCATATACTATCTAATACACTGTACAATTTTATTCTTAAAGTATTCTTAAGCTTTATTTTATTCTTAAGCTTTATTTTAGTGTATGATTCCAAAATCTTCTCATGACAACAGGCTTCACTAAAGTGCATGCAACTTTCCTCTTCTAGGATTGTTCCAATCCATTGGGAGTTGGTAGGGATTGAATTACAGTGAGCTGTCTGATTTCTTATGTCAGGTGAGGTTAAAAGTTGGGCAATAATAATGAGATTAATTTCCACCTTCTCTGATCAGACCTGTGGCAGGCATCAAGGATAAAATAGCTCCTCTCCTTTTGTAGAAGTAGGTTCTTCAAGAATTTGAGGTCGGGGGGGCAGGAATTAGTACTGCTACTGTGTGCTGCACCTCTGCTCTGTGAAGTCTTTTGTTGATGCAGGACAGTGGGGTCAGAATTGAGGGTTTTGTGTGAGAAGCTGGACTGCCAGAGCAATACCCATCAGTTGAACAACCTTAGACCAGCATGACGGACCAGGTCTCCTCTGTTGCACTCATTCTGCTAAGATGAAGAGACATGGTACTTCTCCCGATGTAGGTGCTGTGCGGCTTGGGTTTTTAGTTTTGAAGAACGTTACTGTGCTATATGCAGTAGTATCTTTCTGGACAGGAATTCCAGCTAGAGACAAAGATAATAGCAGCACTAAATTGTTCGGTAAGTGCCTCCCCCTGCCAACACAGAGGTGTGAATTCGGGGGAGGATATGCTGAGCTGGACTTGAGGTGGTTGTGGCAGCAGCACCCTCTACTGCCTCAGTGTCCAAGTAAGGGGTGTTCCTGATGTGGGTTTGTTTTATGGAAAATTGCTTCTCTGAACGCAGGCTGTTTCATTAGAGGGCAAAAATTAAGCACCTTGACAGACGTTTGCATTAGTATAATGCCCTGCATTAATGTATGTGACATTCATCTCAACATTGCATAAAGAAAAATGATCAAATAAAAGCTAGTACAGGAGGATAGTTCCTACCCAGCTGATAATGCAAAGTGTATGACATGAAGTTTCTTGATTGAGGTTATGGGGGAAGGGGAGAAGGTGGTTCAGCTGACACTTGGTCTTGCTGTTTCAAGTTCCTAAAGGAAGTGAATTACTGCTTCTACAGATGTTTTTATTTGCTGTTGACAGCAGCTTGTCCATGCTGTTACATTTTATTTTCCTATCAGTGTTTTGGTTCTTACATATTTAGTTTGAGGACTGGAGTTGAAGGACAGCTGTCTGCATTTTTCAATAGGATTAGAAAAAGGATTTTCATGAAATGTGATGAGACGTTACTGCCTACTCAAATTTTCAGTTCACTTAATTTATTCTTAGTTAAGGGCACTGGATAAAAGTGGTATTTCAAGTGATCTCTTTCACTCCCTTCTCTTCTTTTTTAGATATCTCTGCATTACAGAAACGTGTTATGAATCAGATCACATTGTGTTTCTACTTCTGTAGTTAAAAATTTAAGCTAGGTTTTCTTGAACTACCTCACACAAACTTTATATGTTTCTTAAGTAAGCAAAGCTAACCCTTGCTATTGGAACTACACTGAATGTGAATAGAAAAATACACTTCCTTTAGAAAATTAAACCTATTGGCCAATGTTGAGACAATATCAGTAAGTATGTTTCTTATATATTTCACGTAAGATGTTCATGTGTAATATATAGCTTGTGTACAATAATGTACATCTAGAATATTGTGTTAGCTGTAAATCGGTGATTTTATTATTGTAGTCTGGTTTTGTAGGTAAAAATAGCTTACTAGTAATGTCAGCTCATCCTTTACATTTTACAAAAGGAGTAATTCTTGGTAAGCTTTGCATACAGATAAATTACTTTTGTAGGCCCGATATCTAGTCTATTTTTGAGAGTTCTTTAACTTTTATTACTAAAGTTGAGAAAAAAACCCGAATTATTGTGATCATTCCTTCTGCCCCTTTTGATGAAGTATATTCTTATTTTGTCCCAAGAAATTTGAAGGGGAAGATACACCATTAAAAATACTGGGGAAGACTGTAATTGTTTTGGTTTTTTCTTCCCCACATTTGATACCTTTTCCTGCTTTTCCTTTATTCCCTCCAAATAAGATGTTGGTGGGGCATTACTGAGAACATTGTGGTTTTTTTACTCATTCATGCCATAGGTCATTACATGTGCACCACTGGAATGTATACATTGTTATCTAGTATGTCAATTGGTTATAATGATATTTTAAATAAAAAAGAAAAAAAAAAAACAACCCAAGGTTTGACCACTATGCATGTAGCGTTTCCTCATTGCTAGGCTGGAATGGATTTCATAACAAGGCTTCAGTTGGAGCTGTACTACCATCAGTCCTTCCTGAGACTTCATCTGTTTTTAATGGGTCCTCTCTTGTGTGTGAGCTCGCTTGTGAGCAAAAAGTGACATGTTTCTTCCATTTCTCCATTCCTGTGGGCTTTGGATATGCCACAGGCTGTTAATACCAAGTGTGTTTGTTTGTAACTGCTAGAAATCCATTCTTACTTCCTTGCTGCCAAATCTAGCTGCCTTCTTTTCTGGAAATACAGCTGCTGAGACCCTGCATTGCAGAAAGAGGTAGGTAAGATATGGGCTGTCTAGTGTCTGAAAGGAAAAGCTTTCTCAAAACTTCAGTCTCAGTCTCAGAGACGCCGGAAGGATCTGACTTCTGAAGAGCTCTTACTGGAGAGCTCACATGGGGGCCAGGACCACTTGCTGCACTGGCATCTCTACTGTGGGGCTAAAGCCTAACGTAATGCATTTCATTGCCTTCATTTCCAGGAGGAGCTCAGTGTTTCTCTAAACAAAGACTCCAAGATGGCCTTCAGTTGTGTTTTTCTGCACACTGTTACATTGTCTTTTGTTTACATTTTTAAGGGAAAGGTACTATGACCACAGGCAGTACAGTGCAGCCTGCTTTGTTTTTCCAGCCCACCTATTTGTGAGGTGCTTCGCTAGGAATGCAGTGAGCCTCAGAAATGCTCATTCTTATTTGCATATGTTTCTTAGCATAAAGTGCAGCTCATTCCAAGTAATATGTTAATATAGATCAAAGCCTGAGACAGTGTTAGCTCTGCCACAGGTTTGTCTGTGGGTGACTTAGGCGCAGAACTGGAATGCTCCATAGTGCTGCTGGCTTGCATGGAACTTGCTAACAATGTAGATAATTCAATAAGCTATCATTATTAATTTTCCTTTTCACATTAGAAATGCCATGGAGAACTACAGAAGTTTTTGTTATTCTCTAAGCTGCTGTTTGGCTTTGGATTTATTTTTTTTTAAGCATATGCTTTTGTTGGGTTTCACTGAAAATTTTTTACACTTTTTTTGCCTGCATAATACTGGAAGGGATGTTCCAGGCTGGGAAGACTGCCCAGGTAAAACTATGGTAAAAATGCCTATCTACCTGATTCCAGGAGCCTTTTGTCATGTCTTACTAATGCTAACAAACATCTATCTTGTAAATGCTTGCTAAGCAAGCTAGCAGTTTAAACTGGGGGCTGTAATAAGCAAAAGGTCTGCAAAATAAGGAGTGCTTGCTCACATCCATGAAGTTGGCAAATGAAGTGGCAGGGAAGAGTGTATCATCTTCCTCAAATAACAGCATAGCGTTCCATGAGGTTGTGTACAACAGCGCAAGTGTGTTCCCATTTCTTGCATAATTGCCCATGGCAGGAAATGAACATGCTTCTGTTGCTGTGCTTTGGAGTTCACATTCTACCAAGGTGCATTTTAGTGTGAACAGGGTGGTCTGCAGCTTCTTGCAGGCTTTATTTACTGCAGTGGATCATCTTCAAAAGAACCTAAAATTTATTCCCTCATGAACAAGAGGAATGGACGTTGCTGGATGGAGTGCAACAGTCAGTTGGGAAATGGTTAGTTCCATTAATCAGCTTGAGTGGATATGGTTTCATTTGTGATACTGAAAAGAAGAAAGAATTTTATCCTGGATGCCAGATTAAGATTCTATAGTGCTACATAGCTGACAAATGATCCTATCCTGGAGCTTAAGATTTGGGATAGGTGGGTTTGTTCCCCAGTTCTGCTATATGTAGTGGTTACCTAAGTTTAAATACTTAAAGAATATCTAGAATTCCAGCTGCATTTGATTTCACTGAGAGTTCAGCCAGCACTCCTGTTTAGTGCTTGTCTTGCCTGTTTTGTTTTCCAGGCTCCCAGTCAGCATGGCTCAGTTCTTAACTTTGTAGTGTAGCAGAACCAAAGGGAGTAGTCTGCACTTGATACATACAGGAGATAATGCAATATAAATAGTCTAAGGGGCGTGGGCAATCAGGATGGATATAGTGAAAGGTACCCACGTTGGGGGTAGGAATAAAAGAGGGCATTAAAATAACCTGGTTGCTACTACTACTTTGATTGAATGCCTCAGTAGAAACTTTCTTTGTACCAGTCTTGATGTTCTAATTGCAGAGAATTACAACCCAGTTTATGCCACTCTCTAATAGTATTTTGTGATGACTGGCATGGTACTTAATGTTACCTAACCCACTATGCTGTTCCAGCTCAAAATCATTGTTACAGCAGTTGCTTCTCACATTATGCATCTTAATGCTGCCGTTTGAAACAGGCCATCAATCATATTCCTTGCAGGATCAGTTGTCGCTATCAGTAATAATACAGGGCTGGGGGGGTGGAAAAAACCAAACCAACCAGGCTAAGGAGGATGCTGCTGCCTGCAGGTGTCAGGCTGCTCCTGTTCAACATGCCGGTGCCTGCCACACTGCCTCACACCAGGAGTGGTAAGGAATCCAGCACAGCTGCATGCTCTGGGAAGAAGGGAAAATGTTTTGAAGTAACTAACTGAATTAACCTAACTGTGTGGCTTACTTTACCACCTTCCTTGACTTGTCTTAACCAAGAAAGATTAGGTTAAAATTTAATTTTGCTCACTTTAAATGGTTTACATTTCTATAGGAAAGAGAAGCAGTACAGACAAGGTCAGTACTGAAAGGTATACTATCAGCTGGTACGTAAAGAAGCCCAATCTAAGGTTATTTCCAGACAATGAGTTACATTCTTCTCTAGTAAGAAAAAACAGATTCAGGTCATTTTTTGAAACACTTAAATAAAGCAAGCACCTTCACTACAGTCTATACTTCCCCTTTAGCCAGCTCATGTTGTTGTGGGACTTTTCTGTTAAAAGTCTTTCTCCTCTGAGAGTCCCAAGCTGCCTCAGCTGTCAAAGATACATGCCAAGAAAGAGTGAACAGTGCTGTGAGTGCTCGTCTGGCAAGAAGAGTTCAAGCTGAATCTGGCAAAACAATCTTCTGTGTGCAGGCTCTGCGTGGCTCAGGGAGGTACAAGTGTTATGGAGAACTTCTCAAAGCCACCGCCCCTTGAAGGGGAAGTCAGCCCTGGCACCTGGTTACCAGAAATTACAACTTCATTCTAACGATTTTTCTTTAGCACAAGTAATCAACTTAGGCTGCTGGGTTGTTTGCGATGCTCCTCCTGTCTCATCTCCCTGTGAACTAACAACAACAACAAAATAATCAACTGGCATAATGAGAAATGTTAGAAGGCAGCTAAGTGTAAATTGTCCCAGGAAGGTTAAAGATGGATCCCCACCCTTTCCCCTCTATCACACCGCCCCCCCCCACCCCCCACCTCCCAATTGCACTAATTTCTCTTACCATAGGTTTTGCTATGGAAGTTTTATAGATAAAAACGCTCAGCAGCTGGATGCATCTTGATGATAAGAATCTTTCTTCGCCTACCTTGATGTCTGATCAGTGCATATCAACTCACGAGATTTTTTTTTCTTGCAGCTAACACCGCTCTATTTTTGGCTCAAAACAACCCAGATACCTAGGGCAAAATGCACATATTTAAAGTTCCATGGAGTTTGTGTGGCCAATCTGATTATTAATCACAGTTTAATAAGTTGCATTTTTGTGAAACACTGGAACTGTTGGGTGGATAAGGGATACTTTAGTGAATTGTAAAGATTTTGGTATCTTCAGCTCATTTGTAGATTTTGTTTTCACATTATCTTCATAAAATAATGCCACTTTAAGGAATGAGACATTTGAACAAACTTTATGTAGGGAATGGGGAGAAAAACCACCTCATTAAATCCATATGCTAAACCACACTGAATGTGATGACATACTAGAACTGCCATCTTCCCAAGCGCAAGTGTAGGAGGGCCCTCAGCTCCAGGCTCAGCCTGTCCATTGGTTCTGGCCATCCCACCCACCTTGCAGGACTTTCCACTGTCCTTGAGCCAGCAAAAGGATCATGTGGTAAGTCTGAAGATGGCAGCAGTACAGCTATGGAGAACAGTGTTGATTTGTGGATAAAAAGGGTGCCCACTCTTTCTTGGCAATCTGACACCTAAACTTTCAAGCATTGTTTAGTAGTCTTTCCCAGCTGGCCCAAATACTACAGCACATGTAAAGACAACAGAGCAAGTATCACCAAGAGTGCAGTCACTGTAGAATTACTCATGATACATGAGTATACCAGACAAAAATGTGCATTTTCACTGCTTTTTGCCAGAAATAGAATTTTCTTTGCTGTACACCAGCTTGTTCTATTTGGAGACTTTAGCACTTTGACTCCCAACAGTTAAACATCCTAATGTTGAAAAAAAATCTTCCATTTCCTGCTGCAGGAGGTGATTTCTCTTCTCAGCATCTTCACGAGCACGTTCAGAATTCCTCAGCTTTATCTCCAGCATCGTGTATTTCTTTCTTTCTTGGTCCAGTTCTTCTTCTAACCTAACTACTTGTTTCCTCAGGTCTGCAGTTGTTTCTTCAATTCTTAAAACCAAAGGAGAGAGAGAGGGGAGGAAAAAAAAAATAATTTTTTTTTTAAGTTGCTGGATAAATACTGCTGATAGCTACAATAAATATAAGGTGTTCCACTTAGAGCTAAAATATCTTCATTCTAAGGGAAATTCTAAAATTTCATTGATGTTGAGTTTAAGGGCAGAGACTCCTTGAAGCTGGAGCCTCCACTGTATCTTGAGAAAATACGCTCAAGTCTTACAAAACAATGCTTACTCTTGGGCAACAGACTGAATGAGGAGATGTATTAACACCTCAGGCTGAGTTCAAATATCTAATTCCAAAATAATCTTTTAAACTCTATTTTCATTCTGCTACTGTATTTCCCTATATGCATATCCAGAACAGAGGAACTTCCTTGGAGGTTAGGTACAAATGAGGTCACAGTCCTTCCTTGCCATCAGTTTTCTGGTAATTTCTGTGAAGTTTGTCACTGACAAAGGCGTGGGGGAATAAAAGTTTTTCATACTGTACAAGCTTTTACAAAAACCAACATTTCATATGAGAAAGAATCTGAAGAACACACCTTAAATTTGTCTGTGCACAAATCTCTAATGGAAGACTCAGAGCTTTTCTCTAAGGAGAACCAAACTTAAAGACAAAACACAACACAGAAAACCCACCACCTCTTAGATTCATTGATCAGTATAATACCCAACTGTGAAGCTGGGGTGCCTGGCTTCCCTGTAAAACTGTGAATGGGTTATTTTTAGACAGGGTAAATGACACTTAACAAGGGCATGCTACAGACTCCACAACCAAAAAAAAAAAAAAAAAGGACCTTTGTGACAGTCCCAGAAAGGTCTGAATTCTATTTTGTGACCACCAAGAGGCAATTATACAGGCAATTCAGGGCATCCCCTTAAACTGTTGCTTCACATACAGCTAAGGATGGCAATGTGATCACTCTCACAACTTTCACAACCAATTAGAAAGTCACACACAGGTGCCCTGATCACTGAATCCAGCAGAACAACAGCTGCACTGATGAATGAACAGAAATGTGTACGATGTCTGAAAAAAATTACCCATCTTGATGAAGGCAGGCTTTTATCACCCAGACAGCTGTCTTCTCTATAATACAAAAGGACTCTTCTGAAGCTAGGATGCTTCCAGAGACACCCCTTTATAACATTTTTGTTACATCCTACAGCTCTGAGCTACCAATTACATTTTTCCACCACAAAGTTTAGAGGTCAGCTACAGCAGCCTGGACTAGCTGTCCATCTTCTGAATTACACAGAGTGACAGTACTTAGTACATACACAACATAATATTCTTCCCCAAGATACTGCCAGTTTCTTGAGTCCCAGGTGGTAAACATGAATTACTGAAACTCAGCGGAGAATGCCTGATAATTATACTAACCTCGAGGCAGAAATGCTCTGGAACAGACTGGTTACAGGAAGGCCATAAAATTTGCCTCCCTCTGACTAAGAGAGAGAAAATGGGCCGTTGATGATGATAAATAACAGCTTTTCCATCAGCAAGTATTCCTTACCTCTGCCCCAGGCAGGTACTGACTCTGCTTTCCCTCCATTTATGTATGTGCCAACAAAAAGCTCATATTCCTTCATTAAAACATGTCCTGCTAAACACACTCAGTTCTTCAAACCACACAAGCACACATACAATTGTAAAAGAACTAATTATTACTTTTGGGGACTAAATTATCTTCAATAAAATAAAGCTAGTGAGGCAGCCTAAAGTTTTCCTGCTAAGCAACACCTCATCCACAGGAGCAGACTTTCATGCAGCCTCAAAAGGAACATATTTTTATACATGTAAGTTGCTGCAGATGTAGTAAAAACATTGCAAAATTTTTGAGAGCCAAAAAACTTGGCTTCAAATTCTTAGACTTGACAGCAAGATCCTTCAGGCTGTAATCCTGAACAGCTGGAGTCATCCTGTTTAATACAAAAAGGCAGTGATTACATCTTGCCTGGTTTTATGAAACTTAGTTCATTTGGCATTTTCCTCTTAGCTACTTTGCTCTGTGAGACCCAGCCGATTTATAGTCCTCCCCTCCAGCCACAGTGCTCCCTGTTCCTGTCCAGCTGAAGGGGAAAGGCAGGTGTTAGAGCTGAAGCCGCTGACACTGCTCAACAGTTGGAATGAAGAACAGGTCTTCTGGATGTCCCTGATGTCAACAGCTGAAGGCCCTGTTGGAACAGTTTTACTGATAAGAGGTAGAAAGCCATCTCTTCCCCCAGGCAGCAGGTAAAAATGTGCAGATACACATGTCCCAAGTTTTGCAGCCTGCTCTCCTTTCTGTTTGTTATTCTGTATCCCTGCAACAAGGCTTGCCAGGGCAGCTCAGCAGAACTAAATGCAAGACACATACCCTCATTTCCCTCCCATTCTGCATCAGTAGGGCATCCAAACAAAACCAAATAAACTGTGAACCACCATCCTGGTTCACAGCCCTTTTCCAACACACCGTGCTAGCAACTTGGTGGCAGTCTCATCAGCTCTTCTACCTGGAACGCAACAAGGTGGGGGTAAGGTTTTCTCCCACTCTGTGAGGTTATGTGGGAAACTGCTACGTGGCCTGATTCTCCTTCCAGCTTCACATACCAAGGCAGTACAATGCAAGAGGCAGAAAAGCTGCCAAAGCTGGCAAGGCACCACCATGGGAAATTATAAAATAAAGCAGGAAGGTAGCAAGTGAAATTCCTACCTTAATAGCTGGCCCACTGGAAGAGATCACCATTCAGATATATTTTTTAGAAATTAACAAGAAAAAAGAGGCAACAGATGTAGCCTAAAGCTGTGCTACACACTCCCTACAAACAGTTATATGTGCTTTTGGTACCATGTTTGGGAGGCTGAGTGGAAATTCAGGCATGTAAACGCTACAGGAGTTTCAATACTTGAAGGATTATAACATTAACACCTTAACACACACACACAAAAAAAGCTAAGAACTCAACTATTTGTAAGAAATGGGACTACAGCCCTTCTTCAGTGCAAAGTACCAGTGCTGCAGACCCAGGCCAGTGATTATTCTTCTGTATTATAATGTGGTGTGCAGTTTTGCATATCGGTGTATATTAAAACATATCTAATTCCTTTATGCAACAATATTCCATGTGCATATTTCCCTGAGTACTTGCCTTAAAGTCATTCTATTAAGCACTTACAAAACCTAATATAAAAACTCACACAAATTAATATGACTTCCTAGTTATTAGTACTTTTTACTTCCTACAGCCCCTGCCCTGACACATCTCTCCTGAAAACTGGAAGGAATTTTTCTGAGCACAGATCTGAAGTACAGCACCAGCAATTGCAGTTGTGCAAGTAAACATCAGAGTGGGCAAAGAACTACACAGTTCATATATATCTGCTGTACAAGCAGCACCTTGCTGCTACTTTGACTCAGTGGCTGGCCATACGAGCAAAGGACCACTCCAAGTACATCAAAAACCAAAAGCAAGGTCTCTAGAAATTCAACACAAAAGGGCTGCTGAAAAAGTTGTAGCTGAGATGCAGTCCCACCACCACCACAAAAAACAACCTGGAGAATAGTCAAGATCAGTTCTCTGAAGAATGCTTCTGTTGGGAAAAGCAGAAAGAAGCCCTCAATTTCAGACTGATTTGGTACAAACCTTGGCACCTGCACAGACCAACAGAGTTCCTTGTTGAGGCCTGGCCACCCTGGGTCCCAATTCTTCCCTCCAAGATGTTTGCTTTGCTGTTTCTCTGAGGACACTGATTAAGAGCAGCCTTTAGCATTACCTGTGCAGTTCTGATTTCCAGTGAAAACACAGAATATGAAATACTGGAATTCCCTGTGTGATAGAAATCACTTTTTTTTTGATCCTCTCTTACATGAGAGAGAGAAAATTTGGATTCAGAGAGCAGCGAGGAAAGAGCAGAACCAAATCTGCCAACTCCCAAAGCCAACGTCCAGGTCTGAGAACCTGATACACTTGGTAGCCCACACTCCTGTTCAAACAGGTAATACTGACAAACAACTTCCTTGTCCCCCCTGCAGATGACATTACCTTTTGATACTAGCCTCATATTCAGTCCTTTGTTTGCTCAGTTCTGTCTTTAGCTCCACCACCAAGCTCTGTAAGGCCTTAGAGCATTTGACAGAGTCTCTGGAAGCCGCAGCCAGGTTGCTCTGTTCGCTGCTGCATGCTTCAAACCTGTCAATGCTGTTCTCCAGGTCTGCAGTCTTGACCTCACTCTGTGACAGTGAGCCCTGAGTTATCCACTCGGTTTTGAGAGAGCTTAAAGCAGAAGAGTCACTGGCCCGGCAGGCTGGGCAGCTGCTGACCGAGTCCATCACAGAGATTTCACATGATGATGTAGACCATGTGGTGCTGGCCATACTGTGTGTGCTAAGGGAGAGGCTGGATGGAGGGACGTTGTCATAAGTAGAGAGTCTCTGGGAAGAACACGAGTCTTTAACTCGTTCCCCAGAGGCTGTCCGGCGATGGCCTCGGAGGGAGTACAGTCCATTCATCAACCAGTTCCCACTGGAGGGCAGGTTGGGGATATCTAAGGATGAGCTGCCCAGCTTTGGACTCACAGACCGTGCTCCCTGCTGGCGGAAGGAGTATTTCCACGGAGGCAGCGTCTGCACTCTTTTACTGGGGCTGCTGGCAGGTTGAGTCAATTTGCCACTGTGCTCTAAAGGAGTGTTTTTCAACGCAGGTCCAGACGTGGCCTCTAGTGCTGCAGCATTGCTAGAAGGCAAATCAGCAGGGCTGGGAACACTGGTCTCTGACCTGCTGTCCTCCCCATCCTCCTCAGAGATCCACTCCACAGCACTGCGCTGACGCACAGGTCTGATTTCCAGCTGGCTCCCCGGCACATCTGCCTGAGGAACAGCAAAGATTCGCCCCTGTTCACTTATCAGCACGGTCATCAGGTGCTGAACTAGTGAGGTGCCTGTGGGGAGAAAACAAAGGCAAGCAGTTGATGAGACATCGAAGACCCCGGACACTCATCCCCTGTCAGTGAGATGCCCTGTGAGCTCCTTGTGAGGCAGACCTGTGGCCACCATGCACTGCAACAGGTCTGCACAACCACCCACTCTGGGCCTTTCTGTACAGGACCACAAGAGGCTGGAAATGCAGACTGTGAAAGATGCAGGTGTCAGTCCAGCTCACGAACGTAGCTGACTAGCAGAGTACAAATGATCACCAGTAACAATTAATAAATTGGCCTGCTTAAGGACACCTTTGAGGATGACACAGGAGGATAACACCTGGAAAACCGGCATGTCTGTACCACACCAAGGCATGGGGTTCAGATCCAGCATCAATCTCAGTGTTTGCATCCATGCAGTACAGCATAGTCCTGTGCAGAGATGCATGATGGATCCTGAACACACTAACCTATTTGCTGGGATGGAGCACCCTTCTGTACAGCTTCCAAAACCAGCACGTTTCCACAACTATGTTGCACCCAGTTTCGCAGTCTTAACAGGCCCACACTACTGTTTATTGAAGAAACAGAAATTTCAGCTCAGGCCTTCTGCTGTAACTCAGTATATAGAGAAACTTGCAGAAAGTATAACATCTGTATGATACATGCACCTGCAGAAGGTGTACAGCAAGTACAAAAAGTACTTGCAATTATTTAAATCCACAGAAATTAGTTGTCATTGTTTTCCAGTAGTGGAGTAGACCACTATGAACTAATAGAGAACCCCACTTACCAAACCTAATATAAAGTACTTTCTACAAAAGAGGAAAACCTGAAAAAGAATGAATATGTAATTCTATCTGTAAGTATTGTCTGAAATAGAGAATAAGACTAACATACTCCGGTGTTCAAGATAAGGGCCTGAATTTAATAGCGAGGTTTTGGTCTGATAGCAAGAGGTCTGAGCTCACCTACAACTTCTATTTTATGTCTGTGAATGCAGGGAGAGAAATAAACCTCTCTGGAGATAAGGGCATTCCTAACAACTTAGCTGTCAAACTTCAGATATTTCTATTTGAAATTCATTGTTTAAAATTGGAGAAACACAATTAAAGTGCTTTTTGTTAAGAGCTGGCACCAGTATTTTTCTGTATCCATTGATTTAGCAGATCCATCTCACCCTGAAGCTAAAAAAAAAATTTATTGAGTCTTTCTACTTCTCTGTTATTTCTATTAAACCTATCTTCTATCCTCAACTAATAAACCAAAACATTGCCGTTGCTGTTGCTTATGAGTATAATGATTAAGTCTAAAAATCGACTCACCAGATCCCCATTTTTCTACAGTTCAGGCTTGTGATAATACAGAATTCCAGGTCAGGTCACTGTAGTGTTTTTATGTGATGACTAGGAGAGACCATGAGACCACAGCATCTGTGGCACCTGTGCACCTACACACAGTACAAGCACCTCTGCCATCAGCTGAACTGCATAATGAAATGCCTGAGGTGAACTGAACCCAAACTTGTCATCTGTACCAACTGAACAAAAAGCATGTTGTTGGCCAAGGCTGCAAAGAGTCTTACCAACGCTGGCCAACTGGCCACTAGGGGAAGTCACAGCATCACACAACAGATTGAGGTTTCAGCTATCCCCACCTCTGTAACAGTGAATAACCCAGCGTCTGCTCCTCCACTCCCTTTTTCTCCTCCCCACATTTTTGTACTTTCCCCATTTGGAGGGGAAGGTCTCAAATCTACGCTTAATAATATGGCCCACATCTCCGTGGCAGGCTTTGAGTCCCTGAACAACTACATTATGTCAGGCCATGCTCTGAAGTTGACCTGTTACCTTAGAGTGAGTTGCCATCTGTGGGGCACACATCTGCAGCGCCTTTCAGAGGTCATTTCTGCAGAGTTAAAGGCGCTGCTGCTCCTAAAGCATGATAACGCTTGCATTCTGTGAAGGATTTCCATCATGTAGAACACCATGTCAGCTGTCCCCTACAGCTAGAGCACAGTGCTAAGGCTGAGTTCAGACACCCTGGGCACAGCATCTCCATCTGTGCCTAATGCTGGATGAATCCATCAATCCTTTTTGCAGGCCTGCCAAGATCCCACAAAACTTGATGCAAAGACCCTGCTAAAGCTTGCACCACAGTAGTTGTGCTCCAGCGACGCCTGGGAGAGGGGCTGTATCCCAGCCCCACTGTCAGCCAGTCAGAGATCAGGCCCCTGGCGTTTCCTGACCCATTTTGGAGGTAGATAATTTTCAAGCTTCAGATTTTTACATCCAAAATTAACTTTGGATGATTTTCAGTGATTTTCAACTTACTCCTTGGGTTCTGTGAAGTTCTGACCCACACACAGCCTGCTTAGGAGACAACGCTTCTAAGACACCTAGTTATAGCCCCTGTGGCCAAGCAAAAACTATAGTACCTCCTTCATTGTGGACTGGATGTCCTTTACTGGGAGCTGTCTAACCACCGAAATGCACCAATTCTAAATGATAGCAGTTTGGTACTTAAACATCATCCTTCTGAAGAACATCTGAGCTTTCATTTTAGCAGTGGGTTCAAAAAGAGTTTCACATAACAATTTACAACAGGGCAGAGGCATCTCCATGTGGTGGGGAGGAGAGACATTCCCAGGCCAGTGGTGAGTGGGATAACAGAGGCCAACCAGTACATCCCCTCACAGGCACTGATGAAAAGGATTGCTTGGCTTATTGCTGACTGTGCAATCAAGTGATACAGCTACCAACAAATGTATGATTTTCAGTATACTCTTACAGCTCCAACACACAGGTGTTGTGTTATTTCACAAGAGTAGTACGTACCTTCCATCATGGTCACTGGATCTTCCATTTTGGGCCGTAATATATTTGGTCCAAATACTGTAGCCAGGTTCTGGACACTCATCTTGTTAACACTGGAGTGAGCCTGAACTTCATCAAGGAACCTTGAAAAGCCCCCCCAGAAAAATCAAAGGAGGAGGAATAAGTCACTTCTCAGACTGTAGGCATTCCGGGGCAGGAACAGTTTTGTCCTATGTTTATACAACCCTGATACCTGAAATGCTTCTAGAGACTAATGCAGCTTAGATACTCAGTAATAACCTCAGATCCCTCCTAGTATAGGAACAAGTGAGGACAGGATGATTTCTGCCTTGTATGAGATCCAGTCTTCTACGGGGTATGAAAGGACAGATTTTTATGTTTTTATAGGAATTCTCCAATTACACAGATTGACTTCTTCCAGTTTTCACCTACAGATATAATAGAATTAAAAAAGTATTGCACTCACCTCCTCATCCTAGAACTACCAGCCTGTGGAAAGAGCTTTGTTGCTTGAATCTAACAAAATACACAAAAGGTAGCCAAAGTGCTTCTTGTGAATGCATCAGCTGCGCAAACATCAACACAAGAAAAAGACTATGCAAAGCCAAAGATAGCACATGAAGAAATCCAGACAGACTGGCTATACCTACGTATAAGCTGTGAATCGGTAGAAAGTTTCTAACAGTCAATGTTTTGTAATTTGAAACAGCCTCCCAATAGGAGTTGTAGTAAAAGAAAGGCTGTAACAAACACATAAATAATTTGTACATAATTAGCCAAGTTGTAAAAAGGACTATATGACATGCAAACCTACAATAGCAGGATATAGGACTCAGTGGCCTCAAAAGTGAAGTCTCACTCTGTCTGTACTCCCTTTCCTTAACTATTGTTAATTTTCGGATGAACGGCTGGGTTTTGGCAGAGAAGAAGTTTCCTTGTCATTCTGCACTACTTGGCAAATTTTTGAATGCTTCTACTTGCAGCATGACTTTTCTAGGCACTCCTATTTTTTTCTGTGGCTTTGTCCTGTGGTGGACACTGTGCTGAGACCCAAGAATCCTCAGTTTTCTTCACTAAGACAGAAGCAAATTCTACTTGCCTTTCCTTTCCTAAGTTATTCACTTAGAAACACATATAATTGTATTTCACTGCCTCAGCCATTCATGTTTTGAGGTGCTCAGATACTAAAACAAATGGCTATAGAAGCATATAGTGAGGTAAAATAAATTTTTTAAAGCATTCAAAAAATACATTTCAGAAATGCTATCTGTCTCTACACTTGGGAAGGGCTTGACATCTCTTGAATAAGTCATGGGTTTCATGTCAGTGTTTGTGTCTACTGCCTGCTCCAGTTGTGCAAATCCCAGTGGTCATAAAGGGACTAATTACCACGGAAACTAGAATACAACATAGTTCACTAGGCTGTGGAGTCCCTGGTACTCCAACAGGAAGCCACTCCCAATCCCACTTTCAAACCAGAGCTGAGGCCAGACTGGCTATTCTGACTGCATCTGCTACTCAGCTTGTGTCATAAATCTTCCAAGTGTGCAGTACCTGGAAAAAATGCCTTTCTTTAATGATCTTTAAGTGCTTTTGAAATAAACAATACATTAGTATCATTCATGCCTGCTGCCAAGGCTGTGGGTGACAGCAATTTGCTTGGCTGATGCTCTTGGATAAACCAAGAGCTTCCTTCAGGCAGGCTGCACATTCACCTCCACATGTTTTATAGGAGCAGTAACTTGTATGAAAGTTACATAGCAGTAACTAACATATAAGCCTTTGACTCAGTCTCCCACAGCATCCTCCTAAATAAACTGGCTGCTCATGGCTTAGATAGGTGGACTCCTTGATGGGTAAAAAACTGGCTGGATGGCTGGGGTCAACGAAGCTAAATCCAGTTGGCGGCTGGTTACTAGCGGTGTTCCCCTGGGTTCAATTTTGGGGTCAGTGCTGTTTAACATCTTTATAGATGATCTGGACATGGGGATTGAGAGTACCCTCAGAAAATTTGCAGATGACACCAAGTTGGGTGGGAGTGCTCATCTGCTGGAAAGTAGGAAGGCTCTACAGAGGGACTTGGACGGGCTGGATAGATGGGCTGAGGCCATAGGCATGAGGTTCAATAAGAACAAATGCTGGGTCCTACATTTCAGCCACAAAAACCCCATGCAGCATTATAGGCTGGGGGAAGAGTGGTTAGAAAGTGTTCAAGCAGAAAAAGACCTGGGGGTGCTGGTTGACAGCCGGCTGGACGTGAGGCCGCAGTGTGGCC